ATAGTTATCATCAGCTAGACATCTTCCCACTTTTCAACTTTCAGATGCTTAAGTTGAATTTTAAGCGCAGTTCTGTGGCTTTTTCCTATTCTCGGTAATGATGCAGAACAGATGTTCACTATCCTAAGTATGGCAGTCTTTCATAGTTTGAAGACCAATTTATTTTATATTTGTGTATGAGTCACTAATAAAACTTTACTGACATAATAAATATGCAAAAGTGCACAAAAGTAAAAGCACAGCTGAGTGGTTTATCCAAAGCAAACACTGGTGGAACCACATCTAAGTCAAGAAATTATGAGAATCTAAGAAGTTTGCCTTTTGCTCTCCTAATCACTGCCTACTTTTCTCTTCCCAAGAATCACTGGAAATCATATGGTGCATATTTTTGTGTACAGCATTTTTGCTCAGTGTTGTATTGGTCAAGCAAATTCATTGCTATATAGTGTTTCATTATGTTATTATACCATAATTTATCCATTCTATTGTTAATAGACATTTGTTGTTTAGTTTTGGCTCTGTGGTTTATGTTGCAATGGACAGAGTCTTATTTATGTTTCTTGCTCACACATGCATGTATTTGTTTTGTTATATAACTACAACCAGTATAACTACTGGCTAGGGTATGTATATATATTCCACTTTACTGTTTAATGTTTAACTGTGTTCCAGGTGTTTGTAAAATTGCACTCTAATGAGTGTAGTGTGACAGATCTATTACTCTGCATCTTTACCAACACTTGATATTGTTAGTCTTTTTAATATTAGCTGTTCTGGGGAGTGTATATTGGTATCACACTGTGGCTTTATTTTGCATTTTCCTGATTATTTATGAAATTGAGTACTTTTAATAAGTTTTTGAGCAATTTAGCTTTTTTTGTGAGGTACCTATTCAAGCCTAATGCCTAATTTATATTGGGTTATCTGCCTCTTCCTTATTGAACATGGAACCTTATTATACTAGTTAATGTTGGTAAGACCTGAAGTGTCATGCTCCTCTTCAAATTTCAGATATTAATGATTTGTCCATCACTTTTAAGTCATTTTGCTAGGGTTTATCAAAGAATCAACTTTGACTTTCAAAGAGCCAACTTTTAACTTTAATTTTTATTGATACTTTTGATTTTATATTTCCTTTAAATGTCATTATTTTTTTCTCTTTACTATTTCCTCCCTTCTTTCTTGGAAGTAAATTATTTTTTAATTTTTCATTTTATTTTTCATTATACAATGTAATTGATTTTCATGGCCCTTTTCCAATTCCTCCCTTTCTACCCACTCTCTCCCTCTTTCCCACCCCCAGCAATCTCAGTTCTGTTCACTTCTCTTAACAAGTTCAAAGAATTATTGTGGTGGTTGTATCTCTTTTTTTTCCTTCTATTTATTTGTTTATTCATTTATTTTTATTAGCTCCCACATAAGTGAGAGCATGTGGTATAAGAAAACTACAGGCCAATATCTTTGAACACAGATGCAAAAATCCTCAATAAAATATTAGCAAAAAGAATACAGCAACATATCCATAAAATTATACACCACGATCAAGTGAGATTCATCCCAGGGATGCAAGGATGGTTCAACCTACGCAGGTCAATAGTGTGATATATCACATCAGCAAACTCAAAGACAAAAGCCATATGATTATCTCAATAGATGCTGAAAAAGCATTTGACAAAATTCAACATCTCTTCATGACAAAGACTCTCAACAAATTAGGTATAAAGGAATGCATCTCAGCATAAGCCATATGTAACAAACCTACTGCCAATACCATCATGCATGAAGAAAAGTTGAAAACTTTTTCCCCAAGAACAGGACAAGAAAAGGATGCCCACTCTTGCCATTCTCATTCAGTATAGTTTTGGAAGTACTAGCCAGAGCAATCAGTGAAGAGAAAGAAATGGCATCCAGAGTGGAATTTTTTACTTTTCTAATTTCTAAAAACCAAGATAATTGGCTTTTAGCCTTTCTCCTTTTCTAACACATGCATTTAAAGCTATAAATTTCACTCTTAAGCACAGGTTTAGCTTTATCCTACAAATTTTGATATACTATATTTATAATTTTGTAGTTATAATTTCTTATTTCCATTGTTATTTTTTTGACCTGTTGGTTATTTAGAAGGGAATTTCTTAATTACTACATATGAGGATTTCCTAACTATCTTTGTTATTTACTTCTAGCTGAACTGTAATGTGGCCAAGAAAACACTCTGTGTAATTAAAGCACTCTGAAATTTGTTGAGACTTACTTTATGACCCAATCCCTAGTCAATTTTGGTCAATGTTTCATGTGCTCTTGAAAATAATGTATATTCTTAAGTTGTTGACCTTAGTGGTCTACATAGGTCACTTAGATCAGTTTTGTTAATCAGCTTGTTCATATCTTCTATATCCTTACTACATTCTTTTTGGTTTTATTAATTACTGAGAGATGTATTTTAAAATCTCCCATGATGATTGTGGCTATGTATGTAACTCCGTTTAGTTTTGTTCATTTTTGTTGTCTGTACTTTGAGGCCATGTTATGAGGTGCATACAAACATAAATATCTTCCTGTTTAAACATTGAAGCTTTTTTCTTTGGGACATGGCTCTTTTACTATTTGGTAATACTGTGTCTGATATTAATATAACTCAGCTCAGCTTTCTTTTGGCTATGTTTACATGACATATTTCATACTCATAAGCATAATATATCTAGACTGCAATCTGCATCTTTAAGGTGTATAGACTGTATTTACATTTAAGGTAACTATTATTTTGTTTAAATCTATATCACTTGCTTTCTATTTGTCCCACCTGTCCTAGGTTCTCTTCTCTTTCTATTCTTGTCTTTTACAATTATTTAAAAAAAATTATTCTGTCTTCCCATGTATTCCAAAACACTTCTATCTTGCTTTTTAAAAATAATTATTAAAAATCTTTAAAAAAAATGTACAAGGGAATTTTTAAAAGTTCATGGAAAAACAGAATTAAAAGATATGAATCTTTCCTTGGATTTTTTAATGTATCCTCATAGAAAGTGCAAGGTAATTTTATCACACAGTATCAGTTATTTATGCATTTCTTTTTAGTCCTTTGTTTTTGTGTGTACATAAATATAATTCTTTTAAAAAATATTCATGTCATTGTCTTTTTCTGAAAAGCTACTTAATAGCTAAATGGAAGTGCATTATACACAGCATTATGGTGTGTATGTATGTAAAACTACATATATATAAAATATGTATATGTGAATATATATAACTTTACATATATATAAAACTTTATATATATATATATAACTTCTCATATTTAAAAAAAATTTCCTGTTGGACATTAAAGGTGTTTCTACTTTTATTTTGCTATTATATAAATAATGCTACAATCTGTAATATATCAGATTTCATAGATCTTTGCCTACTGCATTTCCTCAGAATTTGCAGAATATATTAATTTATTGAAATTCCCTTAAGTTTTAAAGTTTAATTATAGATATAATTAAGCAAAAGAGCCCTACTTATTTCTTAACTGACTTATACATGTGTAAATGTGTAAAAAATAGATTATATTTTGTCATCTTTGGCATTCTAACCAGATATCATCTGTTCAAAATGATAAATCACAACGACCAAAATATCAAATATGATGCACCTTGAACTTTTAGTCCCATTTTTACACAATCAACAGGGTGATCAAATCTGCAAAAGTAATAACAAATTAGGTAGAGAGAAAACGAGAGGGAGAAAAGAGTCTAATTGTCTATTCAGTATCAGAATTTCCAAAATAATGTTTGGATAATGGGATTGTTTCATTGTTATTATTTCCATTGCAACGAGTAGTTGTAACATTACCAAACATACCTGTGATTTGCCTTAACTAATAAGGTGGATTTGCAGACAGTTGTTGGTCCCATAACATTCACTGCCATTTGTCACGGTGACAACCACCTTAAATCCTTCTTGATTTGATAACTCAATGAGCACATTCTCTCCTCCTATCCATACTTGTGTTCCTGAGAGGATCACTTATTCCAAGTCTGGTCAATTAAGGCCAACAAGAATCCATTCCATTCTAGGACTTTTGATTGTGCTGTTGTCTAAATAAACTCTTCCACTTGTCTCCATTGTGGCATTACTATCTCAAAGCTTCCAGGGACCAAAAATGGGGGTTTAAAACTGACACTAAAAAAATGGAAACTAGGTTGGAAAATGGGGAGAGACATGAAGTCCTAAAGACACTCTCTGAGCCCTGAATCCAGTGATGCCTGAAGACTGTGTATTTCTCCTTTATCATGAGCCCATTCCTAATCTTCTAGTAGGTGAGCTAATAAACACCTTTCTCTTCCTGTAGGTCATTTGAATCAGACTTTCTGTCATTTCCATTTGAAAATCTTAACTTCATGGGTCCTATACTTTCTTTCCTTCATAGCATTTGTCTGAGTGAAATTCATCATTACTTCAATGCTAGCCTCTCTCACTAGACTGTAGTCTCCATGCAAATGGCAGCAGTATCTCATTTGCTCAACTGCATCTTCAGGACCTACAACAGTTTGGACCCACTCTTCGTGCTCCATAATAATGGAGTGAATAAATAAATCAAGCCAAGTATTTTCTTATCCATGTTCCCAAAGGTTTAAGAAATTACAGAGGTATGGAGCTATTTTTATGTGCATGACAATCATAAGTTTTTTCAAGAAATTACCTAAGTACATTATAATGCACTTAAATTTGTATAGTAGTCATTTTCCACAGATTTAAAGATTGCCTATCATCTCTAATATAAATGCAACCAATGCCTTTTTCTTTGCCATATGAACTTGGGCAAACTATTTCCTTGAGCCTTGGTTTGCTCACTAGTGAAAAGTGCTTACTTCAAGGTAGCCACTTGTAAATAGTAGACTCTCAGTAAATAGAATTACTATTTAATACAAAGAAACTAACTAGATAACCAGGAGAGAAGAGACATACAGTCAGTTGAAAACCAAAGTGCTTGAGTGGACAAAAGCAAAGGCCAGGGCTGCATAACACTGACATTTTTATTAGAATTCATTTGTAACAAATGGAACTTGTGTCAGCAAAGAACTGATTTTCATACAGACTTCTTTCGCCACCAATGTAACGAAGTAAGAAAATAAAAAGCACGCCTTTCATTCTGTAAAACATTTACGCGTACTACTAATTAGAGGTAATTGTATTCTTTTAACAAGCCATTTTACAAGTTATTTTTTTTTTAATTTTTCAGTCTATGCATCCAAAACGTGAGCAAAGAACACAACTGTTATCTTTGTAAAGACACTCCAAGCTCGGATGGCAAAGCCACATAACGGATGGATAGGATGGATCTTTAGCCTTCTGAACTCTGCTGGAGCATCAGGGCACTCGTAAACCCAAAGGAAAACAAAACTCAAAAAGGTAAACGAAAAGGGAATGAAAAATAAAAGGAGGGACTAAACGCAAAACCAAAAATAAACAGAAAAGAAAAAAATGTGCATTACTGCAGCAATTTTTTTCCTTCCTGTTTCTAGGCTGTGTTATTTACATACACACGAATGAATTTCTGAAGCAGTCTCTTACAGATGGGTTCAAGTAATAACATTATTGGGTGTAGAATCAATAGGGCAGTGCATAGTACAAAGGTATAGAAAGTGCAAAGTTCCCTAGAGGCCCTTCCCTCCCCTGGCTGTCCTTGCCATTGTCTAACCATGCAAATCATTTTTAAAAAAGAGCTAAAATAAAGTTCTGTACAAATTACTTTTTATATATTTTGATTTTTTTTTAACCATTGTAACTAATTACAAAATTATACATAACTACACGTACATAGGTAAATAATAGCACCGTACTGGTTATGATTATGAAAATAATTGGAAACTTGAAAGTTTATGGTAATGGAAGATAAAGATGTTTACCTGGGAAATTAAAACTCGAATGGATTTACAGAAAAGCGCAGAGTGGAATGCACATCAATGACAGGAAGGGAGTTAGTTCTAGGAACAGCTCCTGAATAGTAAGATTTCTGAAATAGTCTCCGCCTTGTTCGTTTGTGGTATGCATCCCATTCATTTTCTTCTCGTGATTATTGTCATCTTGCCCTTCGCCAGACGGGCAGTTTTTGTTTCAGGGAGAGAAACTGCTCACTGGCCAATCATTCTGGTGTGCAGTGCTCCATCGTATTTTACGTGTTCAACATGGCATGTCTGATGATGCAATGTCTGTCTGACCCCTTTGTTTTTCACTATATGAAAATTATAGCGCTGAGTAATCTGGCACTTGGATAAATCTCCGAAAGGTACAAATTAAAAGAAAACAACAGACCCACATAGTGCACATTCTTCTCTGGTTCTGATGTAGGTTAGAGAGTCTCATTCTGAGGTAGCCTTCTAGATACATTTTTTTTTTTTAGTATTATATATATTTTCTTTTTTTTCCTTTTTGTTTATTTTTTTATAAAAATGCTCAAATGCAATGCTTGTAAGTGTTTGGTCTCTTGGATTTCATTCTGCTAGCGATGGGAAAATGTGGAAAACAAAAATCCTTCCATGCAGAACATCCATGAAGCTAAAATTAAACAAAAGTGTTATACCTATTCCAAAACTCTTTAAAAGTTCCTTGGATATTTTGAGGGTTCCTTAAAATTACTTAAGATGTGGCAAACTCAGGCTTCCTATAGAAATCCGTGGCTTCCTATAGGAAGTATGTTGGAAGATTAGGGGGGATATATATATTATTTCCCCTTTTAGAAAAATCCTAATGGAATATCAAATATGTTCCAAAGTTGCCAATGATGTTTGTTACTAAAATAAACTTGGTGCAGTTACTGCATGTTCCAGAGCAGATTTGGAAGGGATTCTAAATAAAACCGGTAGCTTTTCCTGATGTTGATGATTATGAAAGGGAGAAGGGCCCTGATTATCCAAGTGCTTTGGGCTGGTACAATCACTAACATCCCCGACTTGGCTGAAAACTAGGAATGCATATTATTAAAGAGTTATTGTACATGTGGTAAACATAATAATGCTTTAATTGGAAGAGTAACATATATGAACAACTAATGGAAATACGAACCAAAAGCTAAAAAGAAATGCTATTAAAATAGGCATCAATTATAAGGCACTCTAAATGCGAAACTAAAACCAAAACAAAACAAAGTCCAGCACTTCCCAGGAAGGCTGTATGCCATAAAATGTTTCCGACTGAACAGAGTAACATGAGTTTGGCTTTGCCCCTGTTACATATCATAAATGCAAATTTCGTAGCACATACTATAGACAATATACGATTGAATACACTTTCTTAAAAAACAACTTGATAGCTGATATATTTTACAACATTCTCCCCTCCTAAAGGGATATGCACTGACCTTTCCCACATGCACACCTCTTAGATATTTAATAATTTCTTATTGCACTAGAGTGATAGAAATATTGAACTTTTTTGGAAGCCTGGCTAACAAAATGGTATTTGTTAATATGATTGGGTGGATGGAGGGAGATGGGGTAGGAAATCTGGGGGGTGAGGTTTGACAATCACTGATGTGCATTCCTCATTTCCCTTTTAAAAAATGAAAGTTTTGTGACATTAATACCAATATGTCATAAAATTAAGAAAAAATCAAAAAAGATGTTTACAACAGCTTTTCTACCTTAAAAAAAGTAAATCCTGGAAGAACTGAATGACAGCTATATTTTGTATGGACACACTGTCTATATATACATAGACACCCTTATAAGATATGGATATATATGTATATATGTTAGCAGCAACTTTATACTTTGCGCCTCCCTGTTGATTCCAAAAGCAAAACAAAATTCTCTTTCATTATTTGAAGAGAATGGGTACTTTCTCACCAATCAAATTGAACAGAAGTGTAAAAGTATTATCTGATGAGACCGATACTGTAGATTGAGTATTGCACAAAAATGTGCAAATTTTCAAATTATTTGATATTTCTACAGCAAGATATTACAGATAACAGTTCTACAGCTTAAAAAACCCTACAGTTTGGAAATAAAAAATGAATTTATGTAACTTCTTTAAAATTCACTTTATCGAATGATACATTTTGTTAAAAAAAAAAAGTTTACACAGTTAGAAATGAAGCACAGGTCAGCAGTATCTTTACAATACTAAAAAACTAAATCAAGGACTTTCTTTTTAAACGTTCCCTCCCCTTTTCCCCCTAAATGTTATTATGAGCAGTATGGTGGGAAGGGGCAATGGTGAAACAGAGTCCATTTTACTGTGAGAAGCCACACCAGCAAACATCTTGCACTGAACTGCAGCACACTGGTCACATCTCCTTGTACCTATTAAGCAATCCTGAACAAGATGGTGGTTCTTTGCTGTGATTTCTTCTTCCCTTTATTTTGAATCCTTGAGGTATCTGTAAATAAAATCCTTCAGATGCCCCATCAGTCAGGATTCTTTTTATTATTTTTCAGGTTAGATTATTAAACTGAATTCTTGGTCCCCCTGGAATAGTTTGTTTTTAATTTTTGTGTATAATAGTCCCACTAAGTAGTTGTTAACTAGAAGTTAAGAAGGACTTCTCAAGTGCCCTGTATGGCTCAGAAGAGACTCCATGGATAGTGAAGGGCCTGCAGTAAAAATCCGGAATGGGTCAGGGGTTTCTATGTTGCATAGTGATCAAAGCTGCCCAGGTATTCCAGTGCGGCTCGATAGCAAAACTGATACTGATCCTGCAGGAGACAAGGCATGAGCAGAAAGAGAAGGGACCATGTGTATGTTTTAATAGGCAAACGAAAATCAATACTGGAAAACAAAGTTACATCTATACAGGAGCAAAATCACTACTTTTGTCAATCAATTCAATGACCAACTAGCTATAGTGAACAAAGAACAATTAGCCACATAGGGTGTTTATCGCCAATCAATTTGACTAAAATAGTCTCCTAATTCCAAGTAGTGACAGTTCAAGTGAACATTATCTTCCAGACCAGTGTGAACTATTTTTCAAATATCATCTAACAATTACCACCAATGAACATACCAACTCCTTATATGCCACAGCCATATAAAATGCTTTGAGAGAAACCTGGATTTATTTATCTTCTGGGCTACTGCCAACAGGATTTTAATTTTTAGAAGAATAATTTTTTTTTTTTTTGGGTTTTTCCCAAAAGGTTTTTAATTTTTAAAAAAAAAATTTTTTTTTTTTTTGGGTTTTTCCCAAAAGGTTTTTAATTTTTAAAAAAAAAATTTTTTTTTTTTTTGGGTTTTTCCCAAAAGGTTTTTAATTTTTAAAAAAAAAATTTTTTTTTTTTTTGGGTTTTTCCCAAAAGGTTTTTAATTTTTAAAAAAAAAATTTTTTTTTTTTTTGGGTTTTTCCCAAAAGGTTTTTAATTTTTAAAAAAAAAATTTTTTTTTTTTTTTCCTTTTTGTCTTTTTTCGTGTCTGGCAACGGACCGCAACCCTCAGTGTCACGCCCGTACCGAACGGGACCGGCAACGGGATCGCAACCCTCGGTGCTGCGCCCGCCCCTCACTCAGCCAGTGAGCGGGAACCAGTCTGTACGTGGGATCCGAACCCTCGGCGGGAGTGCCGCCGCATTCCCAAGCGGCGCACTGTAGCAGTGCGCCACCGGGCCGGCCCTAGAAGAATAATTCTGATTGGACTGTAGACCCTTGCTACCCACAATCAAAATTACTTACAAACATTTCTGATGTTCAGATATAAGAGAGAGAGACAGACAAAAGGTAGCTGGGGAGGAACACCAGGCACAAAGCCATTTATGCAGGGCTATGGACTTTCATCTCTGAAAATGGCATCACAAGATTGGCTGCCACGTCAAAAAATACCTGTGCCATTGGGCCTAATTCAGTGTGAACGCTAGTTGTCTATTCTAGAAGGTCCACACTAAAATAAAGGTCTGAAGCATGCCCTTTTTCAGACAAGGAAGAATGCTGTCCTATTGGAAAAAATCAGAGCATTGTTGGAGAGATGGAAAAATTACAATTTACGAATGACTATAGGAATGAGAAAAAGTAGGATTTTCCCCATAAAAGAAACTTATTTTCAGTAGTCAATGGGGCTGAAAGTAGATAGTTTCTATTTTGCTTAAATGTGCGTTTTTCTATAATAAAAATGGTAATGCAAAATAAATGGAGTTTCCTTTCCTATCTTGTCACAGTAAGTTGCTTGGCTAAGTGCAAAGGCTTTTTAAATGTCCAATTTCCCTCTGTCATCCCCAACACCGATTAAGTTTGTCAGGCTGACATAATGTTTTGAGTATTATAAGCCAATTGCTTCCATTATTTTGAAATCAAAGTCTGGAAGATATTGTTGATGATGAATTTTGGGACACATATAAGTTGTATAATTTGGTGGCCTTCCGAGAAACATAACTTTACCACTATCAATAGGCCAGACTGGCTGCATTATGAACACATATTGTTCTGAGAAATATCTAAATTTCCATATTAATTATTGGAATAGAAAACGGGGGGCTAATTTCTCTAGGCCTATCTAGGATCCAAATGACCACCATTAAATGAAACAGATCAGTTGATGTGTCTGTAGGGACACAGAAAGGAGAAGTAAAATAGGCTGAGGGTATATTATGTGCCAAACATTATGCTTTTTATAAATATATATAAATGTTTAAAATATATATTAATATGTATATAACAAATTATATGAAATTGCCATTTTATAGATCAAAAAATGGTCAAATAGTTACAATTTAACATGGTTCAACCTAACATATCTTTCATAATTTCGGCAACAACACTAACAGTGCTACTGTCTCCCCATGTAAAGGGGGAAATGAGTTTCCAAAATATTAAATCCAATGCTTTTCCCACTGTGTTTTGCTATATTTTTGCACCTGGTGTGGAGAGTCTCTGGACTCAGGTCTTGGCTAGTAAAGTGTAGGCTCTTCAGCTATGACAAACGCCTGAAGATTTTCCTTACCTCTGTCTGTACCATGGCTGGTCGTTGCGTTCTTAACATTTTGACAGTCTGGAAGATATCTACAACTCCTTCATATCTCATTCTTTCCAAAACAATGCTTAGTGTTATGAAGACTCCAGTTCTTCCAACACCCGCGCTGCCACAATAACAAAGGTACGTTACTGGATGAGACACATTTGTTTGGAGGTGGTCATACTTCTACCAGCTTCCACACTCCATGTTTCTCCACAGCAATGTTCAAGAGAATGGGGTCTCAAGCTCACAAAATGATTACTCTTGGAATATTGCATCATGATAACATGTAAGAATGAATGTGAAGTAATTAGGATTATGTCTTGAAAGATAACTTTTCAAATGGAGCTGTACACCATTTCAGAAAGACCAAGAAAATAAATATTGTAAAATAAATGGACGAAAGGAAGGGTAAATAAAATGTAGGTTTATATAATTCATGCAGATCCTGAAATTATACACCTTGCCTGCTTTATTTTTAAAGTATTAAGTAATTCAGAATAAGGTGAACTAAAACTGGTATCTTTAACTTTTCTAGTACATAATTAACTTCTTATAGTCACTTGAAGTCTGTCGAGGATGTTCTATCACCTAGATATAAGTCTATAACAAGGCATATAAACTATTCAAATATTGACATTGTTTTTAATATGTGAAAATATTTTATAACAAACAGGGTTTTAATATGGGATTTTTCACTTAGTCTTCAGGAGGGTTTATGAATATCCTGTAAGTATATGTATGGATTGTGAAAATGTTATTTTTTTCCTATTTCCTGAAAACTTTCCACAGATTCTCAAAGTGGTCTGTAATCTAAAAATAATGGATTAGAGCCATTGATCTCTACCCTTATCTAGTATTTTTAAATGATTAGCAGCTAAAACCTTGGGATTCCTTCTACCACATTTAGCAAGGTTTTGAGTTTCTGTTGTCTTTACTCTTTTAAGATACTTCAAGAATCGTCACAGCAGCAAGAAAGAAAATTAATTCATATCTCTTGTGCACGTAAGAAGCAGAAAGCACCTGGAGGTTTAGGTAATGAGGAAAACAATGAATAATCTGAAAATCCCAATATTTTTGGATCCTAATTAAATGGTGAGTGTAACACTTGGGCACAGGCTACAGAAAATAGATGGGTTACTTTACTTGGGGATGTAACTGACAGTTATATATTATTAGTATGTTTCTTTATAAACTGGGATTTCTAAAGTCTAAACAGAAATGTCAAGGAAGGCTTTAAAATCCATGGACAATCTTTAAAAAGCAACTGAGGATGTCCAGCAGCAGTCAAGGCTTCTGGGAAGGTGGAGTAGATGATTTGAAGGTCCCTTTCAACCTCGGAAATCTCTCTTGCTTCTGAGAGACTGTGATTTATGATCTTTTTGTTGTCTGGTCCAGGTACTCTGGAGTCTATCTTACTTTGATTTGGTTGTTCAAATGTAATAAAAATATTATTTCTGGCTTTCCACTAAGTATTTTCAAGAAAAGCACATACATTGCCATTATAACTTCTGAATTTAGTGACTTTACCAATATGTTTAATAGGTT